AAACCAAAAGGGAATTGAGAGAGAAATTGGTGTTGAGGAAAAATACTGGGGAAGTTGTTCTCCTTGTATTGTTTTGCAGAACAAAACGGCAATGTAAAATAAGAATGATGTGGGGAGTTACCCCTCATCATAACTAACCTTTCACTCCCCTGCAATTAAGGAGGGAGTATTTAATATTAATTAATATTAATATTAATTAAATAATTAATTAACACTTAATTATTTACTATCAAAATAGAATCATATTTTAAATCATTTCTCTCGTATAACCTATAATTTTAATATATATTTTATGCACATTATTTTTAACCTATAGTTTTAATATGAATCCTATTCATATTAATTATTTGAATCCGATTCAAATATTTCTCTAATAATATATAATATTAATTTTGAATCTTTATCCAAAATTAATATTTATTTATATACAATGTATCAATATACATTATATACATTCCGTTATATAATTTGAACACTTCAAATTATTTCATAATTCTTGACCCTCATTTTACCCGTTGTGAGCTAGCAAGGGGATCTAATGGACCTACAGATCGGAAGCTCCAACGATACTAGATTAATCGATCAAACTCATTAATCCAGTTAATCAACATTCGTTAATTGCGGGTCACTCCACTAAAGACTTGCAGCTGCACTTTTCTCACTGCAGAATATTTTCGTGTCCACGAATATACGACAATTAATGGCAAGTCAATCCTTCACGAGTGCTCATAACTCAAGCTGGGTCAAATTAGCGTTTTACCCCTGAGTTACATCTTACTCCTTAAATACTACTGCTCCTCTAATGAACAACCCAGTTATTGTCCGATCAATAATCGGAAGTCCCTCTCTGGTCAGTGAGAGGGTAGGGTCTCTTATTCAAGTCTCGGAGTCAGCATTTAAGAGAACACTCATCTACACCCATAAAGTCAGGGAGGAGTGAATTCCATCTTGTGAAGTTATGTTCCCACCTCCCCACTTGGTCTTGTCCCCAAAATGGTAGGAATGTTGAGTCGGCGACTCAGACCACTCTCACTCATACAAATCAAAGGACAAGCCTTCACAGGCAAGAGTCCATAACTCACTCAAGATTGAGAATGAGTTGTTTGGTCATCCTATGAAATAGCAATCTGTTAGTAAACGACGTTACATCTAAAGAATGACTATTTTGCGGTCTGGTCTTATACAAACTCATTGTATAGGATACCCCCACTCGCATGTCTCTACACGAACGACCTGAATCGGGTTGTCTGTAACATTTACAAAGTGGATCCTATCCATAGTGTTGCCAAGAATAAGGTAGCCAGCCTTATCCATATACTATAGACCCTTTAGGTTATTCCCGGGACATTATCTACTTATATATCGAGGGTATATCAAAGATATACCCAATATATATACTGTCTCGGTTACATGAAAATAACCATGGATGTTTAGTTTATTGGATTTGGACAATATAATGCTATAAATTCAACAACAAATTGATTGAATATTAAACCATAACTTTATTGAATATAAATTTATTTTTACATAATTACAAACTACGAGTTTAGGGCAACACACCCAATATACATTGTGTTATAACTCTATCTCGTGCCTTTAGATGGTACTAGGCCGTTTAAATAAAACTTTAAGTTCAGTTAAAAAAAATCAAGCTATGAAAGAAACTCTGAAAATTTTATTACAACAAAACAAATGATAATAAGTAAATAACACATTCTAAAATAAATTAAAGTAATAAGAAATCTCAATGATAAACAAATAAACAACAGTGTCCATCTCCCCACGTTCCTTTGAGATCTCAGTCTTTGCTAATTTAGGTTCTCTTTTTCTAGAACCAAGATGGAAAGCTTCTCAATTTCATCTTCTTCGGTCTTAAGTTTAGCTCTCAACTCCTCAGCCTTCAAATGTGATTGTGTAAGTCGTTAATTGAAATTTGCTGCCATCCTTCAAGAGCATAACTTTTGCTCTGTAGTGCTTACTTCATACCAAACTTTATTGCCTCTAATTGATGATCCCTATCTGTGCACGTTAGTTGTGTAGAAAAATAGAACTATATGTTAGTTGTAATTTTCCACGTTCTAAAATAGTTGACCAAAAATTCTTGGAGAGACGTAAAATCAATGACATTAGTTTTAGAAATCGTAATGAATATTTTATTCAATTCCTGTTCAAGAAAAAAAAACATTTTCAAGGTAAGTGCGTGCAATCTTTTGTTGTATGCTCTCCCACACCCACAACCATATATTTTTCAATGGTAATGATAGTGGTGATGTGTGAGTCCAAAAGCAAATCCATATCCATGTCTTTGTAAGAGGTAGATATAAAGATGATGTAATTTGTGATGTTATGTCTATATGCATGCTAGTGATTTTTTGCTAGGGGAAGACTTGACTAAATTAAATTGGAGGAAAGGAGATTGAAGGCCAATAAAAGGGAAGTTAGTAGACTCCAAAATGAAGGAAAAAAAAGCCTAAGGAGTCTTTAACATTGAGAGAACTTGAAGAAGAAGTTTGGAAAAAATGAGGCAATATCGAAGAGTTACAAGTGCCAACAACCGAAAGAAATCAACTTGATTCAAAGACAAATTATTTTAAAGAACGATGAGATGATATGATCATAATTGTCAACAACCTTTTTTACTCACTCAATACCAAGAAGAGGCATGCACAAGTCATTGAGCCCCTACAAAAGAAGAAAATTCATTGGATCTATAAACACATCTTGAAAATTCTTAAGGGCTTAAAGGAGCCATCTGGTACCAAAAGAAAGATGGAGCTTCAAGAAAATCCAAGGAAGTGCATGTGCTACACGGATGTCATCGAAGCGCACAATTGCACGCCCATACCCTAACCTCACCCCATGCGCACCAACACCCATGCACCCCCTCACCCAGCCTTGCGCACACCACCAGCGCACCTTTTGTTGCACACCTCTGCCATGCGATTGTCGTACGCTTGTAGCTTGCTCCCTGCGCCCCTTGCTGCCCATGCCTGTGCCCACCCGTGTTGCATGCTAGTAGCGTGCCCCCTACCCCGCACTTGTGCCCCTTGTTGCCCATGGCTGCACTTCCACCTACGTGCTCAATAGCGCTCAACATTTATGTTGCCAGTCCCCACGCACGTGCCTGCGTCTGTCAGCACCCACGCTTGTCTACCCTTACACGTGTCAGTGCTAACCAATGCCCATATCTACCCGTGCTAATGCTTAGCACCTAAGGAGCCCTAGCCACAACCTTTAGTTAAGGAATTTCTTTCCTTAAATTCTTTTAAGAACCTTCTTAGAATTTTCTTGCTTTTATTTCATTTGATGCTAGGATTTTCCATAGTATTTTTGGCATACATTTTCGAAATTAGGGATGTTAGAGAATATTTTTTATTCCATTTTTATGATTTCTTTATTTCTTTTTTTCCGTTATTTAGACGATGGTCGTAGCTTATAAATAGGACCTTTGTAGTATTTCAAAGAAAAATTATGGATGAAAAAAATTTGTGAAACTTTTCTGTCCATTGTCGAGTGCGAACTGATAGCGCATTATGTGAGCTATATTGAATGAGGAATATAACTGGATTGTTTGTTAATTTTCGCATTCTTTATGAAAGATGTACGCACTTAAGACATATTTTGCAGGAATGAAATATGGGAAGGAGACAAAAGATATAATTAGATCAAATTTAGAGAAAAATTGGAGTCAAAGTGATTGACAAGGACTGCGCAACGAGGAATTAAGCCCGTGACCTGAGGAGATAGAGTTGAGACATTGTTTATAGCATTTCAACCCTATTTATGCCTCAACGCTGTCGCGACATTTTTATAATAAAAAATAGGGTTTTCCAACTACCAAAAAGGAGGTATTTTGGAGAAGTTTTTTTGGCCGTTTGTATTTTTTACCATAATTTTGAGGACAATGAGACCATTGGAGAGTTGAGAAAAAGATACTTTCAAGGCTCGAATTATTGGGGTCGCTTCGAGGACGGACGATTGACACGCTGAACTTAGTTTCTTCTACTTTCCCTTGATTTTTCTAGTTTTGTTACAAAACTTTCATTGGGATTTTATTATTCTACTCTGAATATGTGTAGCTAAATTTTTATCTTATGGATTGATGTAGCCATTGAATTTTATGGACAAATTATTTTGTTCTCTTGATTGAATACATTCAAAATATTCTACTTATGTTTCTCCATGCTTAATTCTTTTAATCTACTAGCCATAAATTGATTAATATTAAACTTAGAATCTTACACTCGAGAGAAGTGGTTTAGAGCTAGAACTTGAAAGCATGAGTTTTGATATTTGGAGATTTAGAAGTCATTTAGAGATCGTTAAAAGACTTATTCTTTAAAGCCCTTATTTGTTCTTCCTACTAGGTAGGGAAGTTGGATTCTTAATTAATAAAGATAATTAGTTTGCACTCGGGAGGGACAATTGAGATTTGAAAGTTCTTGACCTATAGATTTAATAGTTCATTCAATCTTGAGTATTATGTAATTGGTTCATATTTTCAATAGGTTAAATCAATTCCATAAGACGTTTCTTCACATCGATTTTCTCTGTATTATTGCATGTTTATTTGCTTTGGTTTTATTCTCTTCATTCGAACCTAGTACTGGAGTGAGCTTAGAAACCCAATCCACAGGATGATATCGATAATTACTTACCTTGTATGAAATATTCAAGTTTGATTGGTCATCAAACTTGTGGAGTGTTTCAACCTCAAGTATACGTAGTAAATATTATGTCTACTCTTCATATTCGACCACTACTGGTAATCCCTCTTACTTTTCCTTTGATTTGAACTAACTATATGATTTGATTGGATTTTAGTAGCTTATAGTGACTTCATTGCAATACGCTAGAGTTGTCTTGTATTTGACAACTAATTTAACCGAGACGCTCTCTCGGTCTATTTATTTGACAACTCCCACTTTTTATTTATTTATTATTATTATTATTATTATTTAATTTTTAAGAGGCGAGTGATTTGGCGTAAAATGTTCAAAATATCGGACAAAGCTTGTTAGCGGACCCTTTTTCCTCCAAAGTCAGCTCTCCTCTCTTAAGTTCCCTCCGATCCTCGAGCGACCCCATAGTCCTTTTTGGCGGACGGTGGCGGCGCAGCGGCAGCGGCCGACCATGCTATTACACCCCACCATCTCTTTCCCCTTGCCTTCTTCCGCGTTTCTATATTTCAAGAACACCCAGTAGAGTAGGCGACACTTCTTTTGATTTCCTTCTCACCCCAGAATGGACCCTTCACTTCTCGACGATATAATCAATCGTCTTCTCGAGGTCCGCGGCCGTGTCGGCAAGCAGGTTCAGTTGTCCGAGTCAGAGATCCGGCAACTTTGTCAGGTTTCTCGAGAAATTTTCTTGCAGCAGCCAAATTTGTTGGAGCTTGAAGCACCCATCAAGATTTGTGGTATCTTTTGCAAACCACACCTCCTTCTTAATCGCTGAGATTTTACGAATTTATTCTGTTTATTTGATTGTTTCTAGATGTTCTAATTGACATATTTGAAGTTATTGATTTGTAAGATGTTTGGAGCTTTTCTTAGTTATACTTGTTAAATCCCATTTGGTTAATTGGTATTCTTGTAGGAAAATGTTCCGTACTTGATTTGCTGTATCATTTTGGGAGCGTTTTGTGGCTTTTCTTAGTTGTACTTTTAAGTAGTAGTTAGTTTTCAACTTATGTTGACCTCTAATGATATTGGTGTGAATCCGTGCGACATGGTTGTATCTCGTTATCTTTCTCTGCCCTATTCATATTTCACATTGGTTAATTGGTTTATGGTTGATGAACATGGGAAGGTCTTTTTGCAGATTGGAAAATGCAAACACGCTCAATTCTATATCTACTACGTAGATTATTGTAGCTATACTATTGTAATTTGTGTTGTATATGGAACTTTTTATATATCTGTACCCATTTAAATTTTTTCACTTTTGATTAATCTATCACTTTAATCCATGCTTGTTTACTGGTTGGAAATGCTTCTAAAATAAGCTTTTTAGTAATAGTACTTTAGGGTTCTACACTCTTCA